AATAAATTTTACATTTTAAAGTACTTCTCAGTAGCTCGTGTCTTACTGAAATATCTCCAGAACAAAAAGAACATGTATCATCATTAAGAACACCTAGTCCACCCTCCCTCACTGATAGAGTGAGTGTCCATACCCATCTTAACAACAGGTCCTCTATCATTACTAAAATGTATGATGCCTATAATCACCACTGTCACACTAGCCACGCCAACTAGCCACACGTCATACCTTGTATTCTTTCTCTTCTTGTGAAGTAGCCTCCTTCAAACAGACACAAGTCCATTTTAAAGTCCCAAGCATAAGTATAGCAAGAACTGATGAGGGCAGAGATTATCCAACAGGCTAGGAAGAAGTAATGGAATCCAGATTGGATAGGAGCATCTTTATCTAAGAAACAGAGAGAAAGAAAAGGCAGAAATTAAGGGAGGGAGATAAAGGAGATACATGTACATGTACACAGTAGTTATACACAAATCGACATAGTTTGCAAACAAAACTTTTGTTTATGCTTGCAGAGCCACAAAAACAACAAAATTTTTGCTCCAAAAAGGAAATACTAAAACTAATTTCATATTGCCTCACTCTCTCCCTTTATGTCACCTTTCATAGCAGCTGCTACTATAGAAAGTATGACCACAAGAAAGAAGTTAATTATTTCCCATGCAGCATAAACAGGGAAAGCCAGACAGCATAAACAGGGAAAGCATAAGCGTGAGGGAAAGCTTCTCTAGTGCTATCATAACATTTGACACACTGAGCAAAATCCACCAGGCAGGCAGCATGGCAACAAATGGTCTCATAGTATAGAATATGATACCACACTTTGCTAATGATTCTATATCATATATGAGGGATAGAAACAAGAAAAAATGAATACTAGTACATGTATGCATGTGTATTTTAAGTAACATTATAAGGTTAAATCTTGCGTGGAATTAATTTGATGTACGGTACATGTACAAGGACTTTTGACTGTATAATATGATAGTCAGTTAGCTACAATATTTGTTACATGCAACAACTGGATTCTAATTAAGGTATTATAATAATAAGATACATTAACTGTATGGTTTATCAGTAGCAGCATTCTGGCCATACACAGGATAACAGATAAAGTAGTACGTGTCCAGTAACACGATAACAGGAGAATTGAGTTGATCAGCAATCCAGAAATTAGGATATGAGACATCATAATACAGGAATAGAATCTTTACGTACAGAAAACAGAGTGAATGAAAGTTGCGTAAAAGTTTCCCAAATTGAATTTTTTTATAAATTTTTAAAGTTGCGGTCAAAGTTCAAATTTCACAAAAAATAAATAGGTGAGAATTCTTAATTTTTATACTTTTTCCTGATACATGGTATATGTTCTTATGCTGTGTAGAAAGTTTGAGCTGATTCCGATTAAAATTGGATTGTTTACAAATTTTTAAAGTTGCATACCCACCTACAATTTTCTTAAAAGCCACCAGCGTAACCTCCAGTATAATAATGGTACTGGTAATGAGAAGAGGATTAGCCAGACTACCCACATGGAGACAGGATCAACGTATATAATATGGTATGTGTAGCCAGATTGGCAAATAAAAATAAAAATAATCCAGAAGTCCCCAAAATTTCCATAAACAATGCCATCTGTTAAAAAAATGGAATTTTAATATACTAGTTTCAGTAAATATTATTAACAAAGGATACTTTAAAACACTAGAATGAGCATTATTAAGGGATAAATTAATGAAGCTCAAAACTTGCTAAAATTAGATTAATTTAATGTATGTGCAAGTTTTCTTTACTGCAAACAATTGTTGAAAGTTGAGATGATTTCTCGGATCAAACTCAAGAATCAAGATGTTATTGACGCCAAAGTACCTCAAGGAGTAAGTATTAGCGGCAAAAGAAATGAACCAAACTGAAAGAACGAAACCTGACCAACGACCCAGCAACTGGCACCAGTGTCAGGGCACCATGGTAAGGGGCTACAGGTCCAATATATACCTGTGTACATGTAATAATAATAATAATAATAATAAAACATGTACATGCATTTTTTACTCTTACATGCTATAATAGCCACTATTGTCACTTTAAAAATTGCTCCCATCAGCCACGCATTGGCCACAGTGAAGAGACCCCACCCAATGGGGGAAATGAAGCTTAGCTATGGTCCGACCACAGTTAACATTCTTTAGTTAATTAATCATAATTTCCTGTAAAGAGAAGGAGAGAAGGGATAATGGATAATATTTGAAAATTAAAACAAATGTTGTTTTCATACTTTAATTCTTTGAATAAGAGTGTTAATTCCTTTCGATTTGTGACAATATGATTTCTTGACCTTTTCTTTGAAGAAATTGTTGCCACAATCAAACTTGCAAGCTACATGTACATGCATGCATAAATAAATAAACAGCACATGTACATGTAGTTTAATACGTGTAAATATTGACTTTATAGTGTTTCTTGAGTATTTTTCTGAAGCCAGTGTAATTCAGTTTCTGAAAAAAAAACTGAAGAATAAAATCATGAATGAATCAAATCGCCATAACATAAAAAGTTGATGCTGGAATCAGCTCAAACTTGCTACATAGCATAAGGACATCACTATGTGTCAGAAAAAGTCATAAAAAATTTGGAGTGATTTTGGAGCCATTTTTTGGGAAAAACCACACATAACTTAAGCCAATGCAAATCCTTGTGCTTATGCTTGAATTCAAAAGTGCTGGACCCCAACCCTGACTTGTAATACTTCATAATTTTGTAATCACAATTATAATGATTACATAGCGTCCTTTAATCATTGTTCATGCATGTACATGTACATGTACTATAAATTTATGATTAATTGCAATTGCAAGCCATGCTTTGTGTACACTCACTGGTGAGTGTGTGTGTACTGTAGTACACACACACACACACACACACACACACACACACACACACACACACACACACACACACACACACACACACACACTGTCATGATATTCATGAGCCACTGTAGTGTAGAATAATCTAGAACATTCCTTACACAAATGCATTGGTGTATCTTTCCTAGCACCGAATATTCTAGAAGGCTCTATCCTACACTAATCTACATGTATACATGAGAGCATAATGTCACTGGTAGATCAACCTAGAAACTTTACAAATAGTCT